CGCGCCTGCCGGCTCTGCCTCCGTGTGCCACTGGCTCCCCGCGGGCGACTGGGCATTGCTCACATGGTCAGCTTTGCTCAGGGTGTATAGAGAGGCTCCGATTTATTTCTAATAACAGACCCTGTGTAGCATCCTTGAAAGACCCTTGGGGTGGGCAGCTACGGGCACTAACTGCTTCACTGCTTTCTTTAGTCTCAGCTAAATTCACTGCGTTCAGTGAATATGACCTGGGACATTTTAATATTTTCAACTTTTTTTTTTCCCTTCTTCTGCCTTTCCTCTCCTTTTGCCTTATGCTCAAATTTTTGGATAGTGATGCTTGCTTTCATAAAGAAGTGTTTTGTTATAAGAAGTATTTCAACATCTCGTATTCCTTTGCCAGTGTTTAGTTCAGTTTAAATAGAAAAACACTTAAAATTGTCTGTCTTAGGTTTAGGCATGATGCCAGGCTAATTCAAACCCTCTAGTTCATCTCTTCTGCCTTGTTCATTTTAAATGATAGTACTTGGTGCCCAGAGGCGAATTACTGTCTGTGGGTTTTGCTTTTGTTTTTTTTTTCCCTCATTTCACTCCCGTCCTGCGCCCTTTGAGGTTATAGTAGTAGTGCTTGATATCTTGTGTCTTCAATAATTAGTTTTTGTGAAGTAGATAAGGTTTTAGGAGCTTAAGCTAAAAACTGTGCACCATTGTGTTCCAGGAAAGGGTGAAAGGTAGTGGTTAAGAACCAGCTCTGATAAGTTATCTAACATTGAAGTGTCGATTAATTATACTTTGTAATGTGTGTTTAATTTTGATTCTTACAACCATCATTCAGCATGGCAGAGGGGTAGACTTGTTTTGTCAGTTGTGTGCATGCCAGATGGAGCCTTAATATGTGTCAGGAGATAAATGGGCCATTATTAAGATTAGATGCATAATGATCATTTTGGCCTTCTTTATTTAGGTCATCAACAACAGTAGATGATGATCTCTTATAAGTAAAAAATATGCAGGAATCAGAAGATCTTTTGTTCTTCCTAGTTTGCTTGCAAAGTAAGTGTAAAGGATTTGCTTGGCTTCTAGTTTTGAAGTTAACTTTTTAATAAAGTTAACTTTTGAAATATTTTTCAGTTCTAAGTAAACTTGACACCCAAAATTATTCTAATGGTGGCTTCAAATTTGTGATCTGGACCACTGAAGCTGATTGTGTTGTGTTTAAGCAGATTAATAATTTCTTAGATACAGGATAATGAACTCATGAAATGAATATTTTTCCTAGTGTTTCAGTGAAAATCTCTTTTATTCACTAGCCAATGTTTAGTTATTCATGTATTCTTAAAATAACATCTGCTACAACATTAGACTTTTTTTGCACTAGTGAAAGACTTTAGTGATGATAAATGTCTGTGTTTGATTTCAGGTTGCCGTGTAAGGTTTTGGAAGTCATTGCTCCAGTGCATCACAACGGAATGGCTAATGGCCACCTCAGCAGTGCTGATGGAGACACGATTGTCATCAGTGATAGTGATGATTCAGAAACTCACAATAGTTCTGCACAAAATGGGTAAATTATACTTTTACAGTTAGGGGAAAATGAGACTACTGCAGATGCACCAGGGTCCAACTGAGACCAGTGACCTGGCTTTTAGGGGCTGTAGCCATTGAGCGCTCATCCAACCCAGAGTGACAAACTGAACATTCACAGGTGTCTTATGCTCTTGTGGTTGTCAGTGCTGTGTGTATGAACCAAAGAACTGTGAAAGATGGAGTACCTGCAACATAATGGTGATTAATCTCTTTGGAGCGACAGTGTCTCTGGTGAAGGAAGGAGGGTGGGAAGGCCCTGTGTGCCTATCACTCGGCCTCTCCGTGCTGCAGAACCTAATGCTACTGTATCTTGGAAAACACAGTTACTTTCTGCATTTCCACACTCTGCTACTACTTAGCATGATGCACTGCTTCCCCTATATGCATATGCACTACCTCTCCTATATGCACTTCCACTGTCAACGTCAGAATTGAGATGGCTGTGTAATAACAGAACATGGCCTTACTGGACACACTGGAGGGAGTTGAGTGGTGTTTTTTTTTCTTTTTTTTTTTTTTTAATGTTCTGTTTAAGAGAATAGTCTCTTCAGGGACTTAGTGTGTTTTTCCAATATAGAAAAATATACAAAGGTTTCATTATTGTGTGTTTGTACAGTAGCTTGTGGATTTGATTATGTTTTTAGGTGCACTGTTTGTGTCTTGCCTGTATGTATGCTGTAGCTTAATGATACTGAATAAGAGAGCTTGACTGTAATTCTGGTGTTTAATTTGGAAGATCCCTTTGCTGGCCAGTAATTGAGTTTGAATAAGCAGCTTGTTCCAGGAGCATAATGTGAAGACAGATCCCTGTGCTTCACAGGCAGTGTCTATAAAAGAAAATGCTTGAAATGGGCCCCCGTCTTGTAGCTGGCAACATAGATGCTGACAACAGGCTTTATATGAACTGTCATTGACTTTGAATTGTCACGTGACCATGGCAGTCAGTCTGTCATTGATTGCTGCATGAGGACTTCCATGTCCTGACATGCCTTGAATAAATAAGGAGGAGCTCCTTATATGGCTAAAGAAATAATTTTGAAACTTTTATCCTGCATTATGTCATTTTAAGGTAGTGCCCAAGTTGTTCATGAAGCAATGCTACACCTTTGAGAAAATAGATGCATTTTCTGTGTTCTGCAAGGCCTGACTTCTGAAGGATGTTGTTCTTGGACTGAATGCAAGCGTGCACAGAGCTCACAGCAGCACTGATCTCTCTATATAGCCATGGCTTCCACATTTGCACAGCTGGTAGTTAGACTGGGGCTGATATCAGTCAGTCTGTAGTTCTCCCAGATGATTGCTTATTCTGGCAGTGGAAAACTAGTTTTCTTAAAGGCGGCTAGTGAAAATGTATGAGTACATTTTTGAAGCACTTTTCTGAGGCGTATCTAATAAACATCTATGATGTTAAAAATAAGTTGCAAACCTCGGACAATTTTAATATATCAAGTAAAAGTCCTGAGCTAGTATTTCTCTAAGAAATGCAAGAGTGCAGTAATTTTGGGGTATGTTCAGATTTAAAGGTGTAGCCATAAAGTGTATCTGAACATGGAGCGTTGCAGTCAGTTTTTGCATACAGACATCGAACACCCTTAATACCCCTACTCAGGGAATGAGCAACTCCACTCGACTGAATGATAGGATTTTGCAATCCTAATCCTTAGGGTCTGAATTTTGCTGTATTTCGAGAATCTGGGATGTAGCGAGTGGAGAGCTCGTGGGCCTGGGAGCCGAGTTGCTGCGCTCGGAGGATGAGTTCTACCTCGGCGCGTGCAGACCGGCAGCGTCGAGGAGGTGCCTTTGCACAATGGGGCAGCAGATGCTCCGTGGGGGCGGGGAGCTCCTAGCACAGATTGATGAGCCATCTGCAAATATTTTTCCTAAAGAATCTGTGAGGCCAGAGAATCTTAACTGAAAATAGATGTCATTAGAGATCCCAACCTTTCTGTGACCCTGCTCTTGTTTGCTCGGGGCAGAACTAGCCAAGTATTCTGTGAAAGTACTGACCTTTCGCATGGTGCTCTGCAATAAAACCTTTAGTTACACGTGGAGAAAGGGGCAGCGACACTCGCACTCTCCAGCACTCTCAGAAAAAGAGAGCGCCCTAAATTACAAGGCAAAAAGTAGTCTAGGGTCTGCAGTGGTTGATATTGTGCTCTGTGACCCTCTGGTGAGGTGCTCTGATCCTCAGAGCAGAAGCCCTTGCCACGAGCGGTGCTCAGCGCAGGCCTCCGCGCTGCTCTAGCGTTAAAGGGCTCCAGTCTCCTCACCAGCAGCGCGTGGCTGGTGGGGTCGCACTTGGCACTTGCTTTGCCACTCGGCAGCAGACGGGGGCTCTGTGAAGCTTGTGCTGCCACATGTATACAGCGTTTGCTGCCGTCACTTTGTGGCGTTCCTGCTGCCCAGAGCTCGAGTGATGTGAACCACAACCACATCAGAAATACTGGAAAAGAAACCTCGGCTTATTAAGCTAGTTCCTTGTAGTAGGTTTGGATGGTTATTCAGTCAAGAAGGATTTTGGAAAAAACAAACAAAAAAACCAGCAGATTCTTACTATCCAGAGTTTTTACCATCTTCATCCTAGTTTTCTGCCCTTATATAGGAATCTTTTTAGTAAAGGCGTGTCAAAAGAGGTACAGTCATAACTAGTCTTTAGAGCAGGACAGGATCTCCAGCAGCACTTTATTTTTTGTCTTGAATTCCTTTTTCTCTCTGCATCCCTCATCCTCTGAATCGAATAGTAATGGTTATAATCTTAGTTTACTTTGTATTATAAGAAAGGGTCAGTGCCCTGAATCTAGAGCTGCTTAAATCTTCCTCATAAGGTCCAAAGTCAGGATTTCATTGAGAGTTGCTGTTGTCTTGTCTCTAGAGCAGTATAACTAATAAGTTGTTACTGATGCTTCAAGTTGCTGGATTTTTTTTTTACATAACCTGTAAATTTTTTTATATAACCTGACTAGACTTGCAACATCAAAAACTCCAAAAAGGCAGTTGCAATTATTCAGCATAGATTGGCATGACTTGGCTTGTCAACAGCAACCTTCAAAGCTGTCTAGGGGCCAGTTTCTCTGTCAGATCAATGTATTGACAAATTAGCTCTGCATAAAGCTTGTTGAGGAGCATATGTAGAACTTAAATGATTGTATTATTCAGCTAACAATTTTCAGGTGCCTTCCCGTTCCCAGCACAGCTCTTGTCAAAGGGAAGTGGAAAGGCTGCTGTGCCTTTTCGAGGGGAGGACAGAATTCCTTTTAGATACATTTCTGTTCCTGTAAACTTTAGGGTTTTGTTTTGTTTTTGTTTTCTGTGCAATTTGTCTCATTCCATTAATATTGCAGGTGACCTTACTGAGAAGTATGGACATGAGTTTGAAAGTCTGAGGAACAAAACTCAGCCTCCCAGCAGACCTTTATGTAGTCCACAAAACTGCAACAGAGTCTGCCAGGCTTTAGGCTGGAAAAATGGCCACTATTGTCATTCACCTAATTTTGTCTCTATCTAACTTGCTTTTTCTGTGCTCTGAGCTGTTCTGTGAAGATTTTTTGTAGTGGTTCTCTGCTGTGAAATGAGTCTAATAACACCTCTGACTCTTGCGTGTCTTGTATCATGCTTTATAAATACAGATGCAGATGTTTCCACTCTGACTTGCATGCCAAAGCATTTAAATTATCTATATGTAAAAAGTTAAAAATTTGTGTATCAAATACATTTTCTTACTCTTGTGATTTAAACAAGATTTAGACCTTAAAGATTCACAGAGGAAGGTTGAGGAATGTGCTCACTACTAAAGATAGTCATAAAAACCTTAGAAACTAAGCAGGAAAAGATAGTGTATTTGGGAACTAGGTTGGGCTGTTACAGATAATCTGCAAAAGATGAGAGAAGAACTTTTTCAAACCAGAAAAAAAGACTAATAATGTAGCAGTTAACCTTTTGATTATTCTGTGTCCTGCTTTTGATTGTGAGCAATATTGGAGCTGGCAGTCTACTTAATGTGTATAAATAAGTTAGCGTGCTTCTGGTATAATATTAGCACTCTTAGTTTAATATCTTTTTGTGTGCGTGTGTCTGAACGTTATATATGATCAAATTTCAATGTTCAGTCCTTTAGACTATTAAACTGAAGGCCTGGAAATACAGGAGTATATGATAAGGAAACAAGTATGGGTTTGCTACTGTTTAGGAAATCCTCTTGCAACAGTGTTCTTTATCTTTCCTTTTTGAGACCGTAGAAGATCATGGAAGACCATGTTGCTGCAAGACTAAAATACAAAGGTTTTCAACTTATGATATTTTTAGTAAGACTTTTGGTTAAGTCTTCATATTTTTTTAGTTAATTAATTTAATATAGCAAACATGTAAGTAATGAAATAGTGGCCAGATAATATTAACAGATTTTAAGTTTAAGGCTAGTACAACGGCAGAAACATTCAAATTTTGCTAATTTTGATGTACTGAATTACTTATTCTTTACAGGCTGTTTCTGGGTTGTTTTGCTATTATGATTAGCTTTTTATTTATTTTTCTTAAGTTGATCTGAGTGACTCAAAACTTTAACTCCGACAATAAGACACAAGTCAAGCAGGTTATTTATATTCTTAGGTCTGATAAATGTTTGACTGTTTCCAAGTCTGTTTTCTTTGTTTATGTTAATCATTTCCTCATTGACACTTTTTTAAAGTTTTGATTTTTTTTTAATTTTTAGTTTTGAGGAATTGCTCTCCCATTTGGCCCTACTTCTCCTCCCTCCACCCTAAGCAAAACCAAACAAAAAACTATTCCCACATCCCTTTTCCTGTGCTTTGCAGATGCTGTTGCCTTTGATGCAGATTTAAAGTTAGTGAGCTGTAAGAAATTAATAAATCCGGTTTTGTACTGGCGGAAGTTACATATTATGTTAAAGATGATTGAGTATTTTCAAGAGGTCTACTCTGTGTGTGTGTGTATGTTTTACATAAAATACATATATCTTGTATAGTATATTTACTACTTCTCAAATGTTTACATTAAAGTTGATATTCTGCGACTGTGTAATTAACTTCTTTTTGTTTTCATTTTAGGAAGAAGAAAGCCATAATTGATCCCTCTTTGTTCAAATATAAAGTCCAACCTATTAAAAAAGAACTTTATGAATCTGTTATTGTTAAAGCATCTCAGCTAAGGTAAAAACAGTATATGAAAGTTAAAATTTTATCTTATGGACAACTATGTGAGAGATATAAGTTGTAAAGACATTTTTGATATAAAATGGAATTTTTAAGTAGTATTTTAGAACTATTAATTAGAAACACTGGAACAAGATATAGCCTTTGCGTTTCCCAAGCTTTCTGTAGCAGAGATTCTAAGCTTTGCAAATAGTAGTGTATATAGCAGCTCCTTTAAAATCTGTGTGCTTTCACTGCCAAACGCGTATGGGACCAGCTGTTGTCACTACTGCTGTGACTGATGGAGAAGAATGGAAAAAAAATGAGAACCCTATAAAGTTTCAGGAGTCTTAGCATTGTGAGCTCTCTTTCTGTGCAACAGTGAATCTGGCTTGAAATGCTGGAGCAGACACTGGCAATCACAGCGTTTTATTCCTTTAAAATAGCTGTGAAGATTCTTCTGTCTTAAATAGCCCAATTTATCCTGATGAATTTAGTGGAAAACTAAATTGTGGAGGGCTGTGTGTTTGTGTGCATGTATACGTACATAAAAGAGGACACACTTTTTTTTTTTTTAAAGAGTAGATGGTTCATCAAACTTCTGTAATTTGGATATTTTGAAAAATCTTCTCTGATTTCAAATCACTTCAGTTCCAGTGCGAGTGTTTGAGATAGAGTTAGTTTTTTTCATAAATTACTTTCTTGTCATCAGCAAGTCACTTGATGTATTTGGTCCTCATGCAATAAATCATCCCAATTTTCCAGTGCATTTAAGTTCATGTTTAACTTTAAGGTACTCAAACACTTCAAGCCGTATGTGGTTTCTGTAAACAGTTATTCTGAGGTGGTTTTTTGTTCGTTTGTTTTTGGTTTTGTTTTTTCATATGAAGTAGGGCAGGATTCCCTGGAATGCCAGGAGATGTTTAGATGCCCAGTGTCCTGTGGCAAGGGATTCTACAGTCTGGCCAGAAAATGTGGAGTGCCTCTTAGCTTGTCAGCTTGAGCCCTGTGTGCCTCATTTCCCCATCTGTGAAATGCAGATGCTATTTCCCAACACTTTTTTTTTTTAAAATCTATTATCTATTTTTATTTTCTCTTTATGTTACTGGATTAGAAACAACTATTTTGAATATCTAGAAAGACTGAATAGGCTGTGGAGGGGTGTGTGTGTATAGTGTGCACATGTGTGTGTGCATAAAAGAGTGTCCATACCATGATGTTCACAACAAACATTTAATATATTTATATTTTATATTTAATTGGGTATGAAAAGGATATTTAATTGGGTTTGCTGAGAACAGCTATTAGTTAGAGTGGTAAGGGTGTAATTTAGAATTAATAAAATAGCAAAAAGCTTGAAATCATACGATCTGTTATATGTGTTCTTGCACATATTGTCTGCTGTATTTAAACAACCATAAAAGTAACTTAGTTGATAATCTTCCTTTTCTTGCCTCATGCAGCAGGAGGAAGCATCTGTTTTCTCGTGATAGACTTAAACTTTTTCTGAAACAGCACTGTGAAGCACATGATGGAGTCATTAAAATGAAGGTAAATAAGATGGGATAGTATGCTGGATAGCATATTGATATTACTCGTCTTTCTTGTACTTTAAGTAGTTACTTAACTTATCTTTCTGAAGTACATCATCTTTTTTTAAGTATCTTATAGGAATTAGTATTTGACCTTTACAAAATAGAAGTGAATATACACTTTTTTTCTGCAAAATGAGTTTTTGTTTTGTTTTGAACAAGATGGTTCTTTTTCTGCACTCTAGAATTTAAGCAAAACTGAAGTCTGTAAGTCTTCCGTTAGCTACACATTAAGAAAAGTTCCTGAATTGAAAATGGGAGTCCTCATGTACAAAAATAATTGTTTATTAAAGTATAATATATTTTTAAGGAGTCTAGTATATAAGCTGACTCCTTTCTCCAAGCTATACACCTAGTATTTCTAGGTTAATAAAATTAACTGTTTCAGCCTTGCTGTACTAGACTAATATTATTCTGTTGTAATACTTTTTAGTTGGAAATACATGTTATTGTAGATTAAGGTCTCCAATTCTTCAAGTGGGATAGAAACATAGAGGAGCCAGGGTACCTGGAGTGAGTTTTGGGTGAGGCTTTAGGTAGCGAAGCTGTTAGGGCGCACCTTTCTGTGCACCTTGTGTGAGGTTAGAGTGTGATACATTCTACAAGATTCAGATTAGAGCTCACACCTTAGTCCGTGAGGTCAACTCTGGTAATTTCTCTTGCCTTGTGCAGTTCAAGGAAGGGTGCAGCTCTCCTCATGCTTCCAAAATAAAAAGCAGTTTCCTCTGCCAAACTGTCTGTGCCACAGGAGATCCTGCAGCCTCTCTACTGCATGCTGCAGCCTTGACCCTGAAATTCTTCGTAGATTCTTGTTTTTAAAAAGCAGGTTTACTACATTTGGCATTTTCTGTGTGTGTTAAGAGGAATGCTCAAACTCTTGCATAGCTTCATTCTGTACAGGAAAGCACTAAGAGATGAGAGCATCAGGGAGAGTCTTGCCGCTGAAATATGTTGAAAATGTCAAATGCAACAAACTCTTCAGATGTATTTGTAGCTTTAGAGTCCGTCTCTTTTAGAGAAATAGAAGAAAACAGTTTAAAGGGAGTTGGATGGCAAGTTTAGGCTGTCCCTTGCTTGGGCTGCTTTCAGAAGAGGATATTCTTGATGCAGAAAATTTGGACATAGTATGCTGGGTCTGACCTGTCAATTTTTTGTCACTTTCTGCTGCCAGATGAGAATTGTGATATTTTGTATATGTTTGTGTTTCTCGTGTGTGTTTGAGGACTTTTCGGAGCATCTGTTTGTTCTGTTGTCAAGTTACCTCATGTTTCAGCAAATACATGAACATGTCCTTATTGGAGTGTCATTTGTGTCCTTATCAATATCATGATAAGGGCAGGCTTCCCAAAGTCACAGTTTGAGGAAGCTGGCTTGAAGCAAAACCCTGACAACTCAGAGAAAAAAATGATACTTTTTCTTCTTCTTCAAAATGGTTTAATTGTGAGTTTCTTCAGTAAATTGCTTTCCCTGCTTTCTCTGTCAAAAGTCACCCCTACCACATTCCAGTAATTTGCTGAAAAGTCTGCGTCCAGCTGTGTTTGTTCAAAGGTATCTAAATAAACATGATTTTTACTAAATGAGGCCAAAATCTTTGTTCAAACATGTGCTGCTTACATTATTATCCTCTTGCTGGATTAACTCTACTTTTATACCATTTTGGAATCTTTTCTCTTTTCTCTCAGCCAACCAATTGCATTGTCTGTCTGAATTCCTGATACATAAAAGTTGGTACCTATGAAGAGGTAATCATTTCACAATCAATACCTGTTTTCATCTTTCTTATTAAGGCTACATCAATTGCAAAATACAGTCTAGCAGAACAAAATTTCTCGTACTTCTTTCCCGATGACCCACCCACATTTATCTTCAGTCCTGCAAGCAGAAGGCGAGGGAGGCCTCCAAAGAGGGCCTCTCTTAGTCAGGTAAGTAATGAACAAAGTTTTAATTTCTGATGAAGACACAGCAGTAGAGTCTTCTGCACTATTCTATCTGCTGTATGAACTTTCAGAAGAACTGGAATGCAAAGCTGAAACTGAGCTTCCCTATCTAGAGTGTGAATCAGGATATAGTGCATATAATATATTGGCTTATATTTAAGGTGAAAAGAAATCAAACTTAGTATTTAGCTTCTGATTGGTGGGATCCCACCAATAAATGAGCTTTTCAGTGTGTTTTGAAAGTGTATGTAGTATTTGTCCCTTCCAGGATGATTCATAAATTATCTAAAAATCTTTAATTCATACTTTCAGATACAGTTAGTTAACTTGGCTTTTTTTTGAACAGCATAATGCTCTAAATGGCCTTATTCACAAAGGCAGCTGTGGAAAAAAAATATATATATATAGCTATTAGAATCTTTGCATAGTTAGCATGTTTGTGAGAAAAGGTTTTAGCCTTTCTTTCTCCTTTTAGAGAACTGTTGAAAGATGGGGAGTATCTGTTGCCGGTCATATCACTGTACATACTGTGCTTTTTCTCTTTGCTCTCCCCACCCTTTCCACCAAACTGCCTATTAGGAGGACAAGGTTACTGCTAAACAAAATATCCCAGGAAGCAGAAGTAAGGGAGCAAAGGAAAAGACAAGATTCCAGAGGCAGAAAGAAGAAATGCAGGCCATGGGTAAGTTGAGGTTCAGTCCTATGCCTGGCAGAACCAGTTTCTGCAGGTAGGAGAGGTGACCATAATTAGTGTATGTCGGGGTCATGTCTTTCAAAGGGAAAAGCATAATAAGAGGGCACTGCCACAGCACTGTGGCTAAGTGCTCCTTTCAGTGGCTAGAATTGTTGCTTCCTGACTTCTTTTACTATCCTGTGGAAATGTAGGAAGCTTTCAGTCAAACTATGTTTGGTCTCTATCTCAGGTAAGTAATGAGTGCGTGTATATCGCAAATAAATATGAGCAAAACAAAAATTTTTGGAGAATTTTGGGCTTCAAGATCATGCATAATATTTCCTGGCTGTCTGTATAGCATGTGTTTTTAACACAGAAACAATCTGTGGTATGAGGAAAAGCTATAAATAGAAAAGCTACCTTAAAATTAAAAAGAACTGCAATGCTTTCCGAAACCTATAATAACCCATAAGAAAATCCTTACATCCACTTGAGTCATTCTGAAGATGTCTTTGTGTAGACATGCTGGTGGTGTGCATGTGTGTTCTGCAAAATTACTTCCAGTATGTTTGCAGAGTTTTGTAGGTAAAAGAGTGCAAGTCACTTTGGAGGTTTTAATTTCAGACTGAATTATTTTGTCTTACCTCTGTTCAATTTCTGGTCTATTTAAGCTTAGTTTCACGTAAGATAAAAGGACTCATGTACCTTCTGTATGGATTTAACTAAATAAATTGATGTTTCTTCTTGTGGAGACAAAACAGTGAAACTCCTCCTTCCTCAGACAAGATGTTTTGCTTAGTTGAAAGCCTTTCCTGAGGAAGAACATCATTGCTTATATTTATGAAAATACTCTGAATTTTCAATTTCTACCTTTTTATTTCTATTATCATATAAGCATAGGTTGTTTTTAGGATGTAAGGGTCCTTATGCCAACCCCATACATATAGCAGGACTAAATAAATTTGGCTGTGACTGCTCAGGACCTTGTCTTCATGGGAGGTAGGGACATTAGGGTATAACTAGCTTCACTAAACTACTTAGTACAGAGAGCATCTACTACTTATATGAAAAAAGCCTGGAAATGACAAGCCAGGATAAGTTAGCAATGGAGCAGTACCAGTGATTCATCACTATCAGACAGTGCTCAGATGCAACAGTATCAAAGATCATGTGTGTTGCTATCTGCAGCTTTTAGGAGTTTAGTTAAGACGTGTTTTCTCTGTGTTATCCTGTTGCAATGCTGTTAAAACATCTCATTTCAAACATCAAAAGAGCAATCAGTCTCACTTTAGTTGCGTGATATTGACATCCAAACATATTTTTTAGATTCTTTTTGCCACCTGGCTAGAAAACTGCCATAGTATGTTAATATTCAGACTTGGTAATAGCTTTATGTTTCTTGATGGGAGATGCAAAATAATGATGAATGTGTGACATTAAAAAATGTTGCGTTGTCACACTTGTTCTGTGTGTTCATTTTTGGCTCAATGTTGGCCCCTGAACCAAACTACTACTTTAAAAATGACATCTTCTCATGATGTTGTGAAAACAGAGTGTGATTCCATCCATAAAATAAACTTGAAACTCTGTGAATGTCATTGAATATGCAATTAAACATTTTTACCTGTAAATAATAATTGGAATGGTGATTACTGACACTCATAAAATCTCTACAAAAGAGCTGCTATAGTAGTTTACTAATGGTGTGCAATGGCAGCAAAGTACATTGGAAAATCACCTTTCTTGAAGGACTGTGGAGGATCAGCTTCACTACTTTTATTTTCCAGGTGAGAGTCAGTGGTGGTGTTTATATGGGTGGCGTAGAAACTTTCTTGGCCACTTTCAGAATTTTATAGGGAAACTTAAATGATCTAATACAATCTTTATTTGTTTTTCCAGTGTCATTCATTTTCTATTAGAATTAAGGTTCTCCTCCTCATTTTTTTCTTAACTTTCACTTGTGATTTTTAGCCTTCTTTATTTAATTAAAATGGTAAGTCCACTGACCTCTGTTTATTTGTTAGCTGGGGGCAGCGGAGATGGTTCTGCAAGTAACTCTAGATCTCCTCAGGCAGTAACATTATTACCTATTAAAGTTCAGCTTAAACTGTGTAAAAGAAGTAAAACTCGACAAACTAGCCTAATTTTCATTAATTCACTAATAATTACTTTAAAAAGATGCTTATTTAAAGGATTTATTAACATGAATCTCATGGCTGTAGGACGCTTACTGCAACATGCTGTTATTAAGCAGTCTTTACTAAGTGCTCTGCTGTAAGTGTGTGTTATCAGTTGTCATCTTTAATTCTTCAGTCAGAGAATTATAATAAACAATAAACAAACTTCTGTGTGTGTACCCATAAAACCAAAAATATTTAACTTTATTACAGTGATGACAGCCTTGTAAAGCACATATAATGTGTTAGCACTGAAATTCTGGTTGTCTAAAGAACTTCTGTGTGCTTAATGGGTAGAGCAGAATTGAACTTTGGGTTGGCATAGAAACAATTCAGTCTTCATAACAATATCTTTTTCATATGGTAATTATAAAGTGATCAGTCTACCTATTTAGCATGTTTACATAGAATTAGCATTTTATAAAAGAGAAATAACTTAGGTTTGTTTGTATTTCTGTGTAGCTTTTGAAAAAGCTAAATTAAAACGAGAGAAGGCAAATGCTATAGAAGCCAGGAGAAAGGAGAAAGAAGATAAGGAAAAAAAGAGAGAACAATTAAAGAAGATTGTGGAAGAAGAAAGGATGAAGAAGAAAGAGGAGAAAGAGAGGCTCAAAATAGAAAAGGAAAAAGTAATGTGTTTGTATTATGTGCTTCATATGGGAATATCATAATGTTTTTCTAGTTCATTTGTTTCTTAGTTATTATCTACCCCAAGTTATTTTCCATCAACTGTTTCCAAGTTAGTAAGACTTGTATTTTTAAAAAACTATGTATTTATAAAACGTGGTTGTGTGTTTATATTCATAGATAACACTTACTGCTTTATAGACTCACTTTGAATTTGGTTCTGAAGTACTAAAACCTTTTTTTTTTTGCTAATCATGCACAATAGTATTTGATGTGAGAGTTGTCTTCTGCTTCAGAATTAGAGATGCTGTAGAGGCCAACCACCACAGTATGTTAAATTACTGTGGAGTTTCTTGTGATTTCCCTTGGGATGAGAATTGTTCAAAATCTTGTTATTTAGGCATAATATGAATAAATTATTTATCCCACTATTTCTTTAACCACAACCACATCCACTATCTATTTTGATTGGGTTTTTTTGTGACAACTTTAATGAAAGAGGCAGGTTGAGAAAAAAATCTAGACTAAAAGTTAATCACTAACACAAGAAAGAAACACTGCAGTTATTTTTTAACTTGAATCTTTGTCTATATTTTATACAAAAATGATTATTTTGTTCTAATAAAATGTTTTATTTTTCTGCGTTACTGAAGTGGTAGAGGTAGAGGCATGGTTCTAGAAATTGTAATAGGAAGAACTGATCGTACATTTTTTTTACAGTTCTGACTTCTCTATCCCTTCTTCCTTCCCTATTCCACCAGGAAAGAGAGAAGCTGCGAGAAGAAAAAAGAAGATACGTGGAATACCTAAAGCAGTGGAGTAAACCTAGGGAAGACATGGAGTGTGATGATCTTAAGGTATGATTGAATATGTGTGTGGAGTAGTGCGGGCTTGACTTCTGCTTACAACATCCTCAAGGCAGTTCCCCTCGTGCAGAGGCAGATTTCATGGGATCTGGAGGGCAGGGGTTGTGTGTGAGCAGCAGTCATGCAGTGGTATGCAGAGTAGTCCCGGGGATGATGCTGTTAGGGTAGACAACATCTGCATTTTCATTCTCCCAAAATCTTGACTGTTTTCTCAGTTTCTCAGTCTCAATATGGAACAGTCTTTTCTCTCTCTCCTTCTCCCCTCCCAGCTCCAAACTGTTGAACTTGCTGGGCAGAGGGTATTGAATAGACCTGACTTCTCAAATACAGTAAGAATTTACCTAGCGTAAACCTGAGTTACTTAGCAGATTTAATTAATGAAGAAATCAATTTTAGATGGAAAAGGTAGAAAGGGGCTGAGTGTGTGTGTTTGTTTAATTCCCTATGATGCTCCTTTGATTTAAACTCCAGCAATATCCTTGCTTAACGATCCCTTTCTGGATGATCTCTGTAGAAAATAACAAGAATGTACCTCCCAAAGAGGCTCATGCTCTAAATGATAACATAGTGTGATTCCACAGAATCTGTCCACTGCAAAGTACGATTAGTTACACTTGCACACACTTTGTTAGGATTAATTTTGTTAGTGAATGCAAAAGAATGAGAAATAGTCAGGAATATGTGGATAGGAGCTTGTGAGAGGTATGCAGGGAAACATGACAGAAGCAAGAAGACAGATGAAAATTTAAGAGTGTTGGTTGAACTGTTAACACTGGTGAGAGGAACATACGAAAACTGAACATCCCTGCAGGGTGAGCTGTATAAGCTTTGACAGAAAGGATGAAAACTTCTAGCTGTGTAAAGGAAAGGAGAAAAAACTGAGGAAGGGAATAGATGGTGAGAATGGGAGGAAGCTGTGGGAAACAGTACTGCTACGTCCTTTGAATGGAAAAAAGGCAAAGTGTGGAGAAATAGCATAATTACAGTGAGAATTGACACACGTATGAATAAACGTGATTGGTGATGCAGGTAAAGAAGGCAGAAAAAAAATCTGTAGACCGCAATTTTTCAAAGAAAATCTCAGGAAATACATGAAATATCAATTACGTTTTTCTGAAAGCAAAGTATTGAACAATCTTTTCATTCATGTTTATAAACTGCATTTCTCTGTGGAGAAGACACATCCTTTTCTGACAGGATAGTTTGACCGACTGTTCAGAAATATTAGGTGAAAGCAAATCTTTAAGACTTTCATGAAGATATTAGTGCAGAAAACAAATTTTGTGTTCTGTATTGTCAGCTGTGGATTCTCGTTTATATCTTTTTTACATGGTTTTGAGCATTTAAGTTGGCTGTCATAGCTGGCCTACCAATGAAAAAACACACATGCCAGTCAGCTACATATACATCAGACATGACCTTGCACATGGTAGTATTAGACATGTTTTGTATGTGCTGGGGATTTTTGTTTGTTTGCTTTCTGCCAGAAATGCTGCATAATCTTTTAAAGAATGTTTATCACTTGTCTGGACAATTCCAGCAAATTTTAAAACTCTTTTGGACTAACACAGGTTTAAAACACTTCACAGCCTATGTTGTTAAACTGTTAGCAGTTTTGAGTTCCTGAAGGCAAAGATTGAAGCTTATTCGTGTTTATAAAGTTGAATATTTCTGTATCTCCAAAGATTTTATGAGTTGCATGCTATTCAGTGTCTTCAGTTAATATGGCCATAAATATTACCATACTAATTGATTGCGTGTCTTTAGAAATATTTTCAGTAAAATATAATGAAGCCCAGTGGATATATTTCTTAGAATGATAAACTGTTTCTGTTGTTAGTGCCCTGTGTACTCACTGAAGCCATACATTGTGTTAAGTTGTTCTCTTTGGATTGCAGGAGCTTCCAGTGCCCATGCCAGTGAAGACCAGGCTTCCTCCTGAGATCTTTGGCGATGCTCTGATGGTTTTGGAGTTTCTGTATGCTTTTGGGGAACTCTTTGATCTTCAAGATGAGTTTCCTGAAGGAGTAACTTTAGGTGGGTTGTCATTTACAGGGCAAAATGCCCTAATTTGTGGTGTCTCTTCTGCTCCCAAACATCTTAAATATGTATGCATTTATCAAGTTTCTGTGCAGTCTTAGTGTGGCAGTGCTTACATAAACATATCAATCAATTTTTCTCTTGTCAACCTCTGCAGTATTGGTACAATTAAGATTAATTTCAATGTAGAAACTGTTAATTTACTTAGTCTACTTGTATATTTCTCTTGCAGTTAAATATTAAGGAAGGGCATTGTTTTTTCATGGTTTTCTTTCTGACAGCATCACTTTAAGAATATTCACAGTAAATTATGGAAAAATAACTTGGTTATCACCTGAAGGGATTTTATCTGATTATCTGAAGGGCGGGGGGGGTCGGGACGGGAACATGTTTTCATTCTTCAGTACATAATTACTTTGCAACATTATGGCAAAAGTGACCCTTCTTAAACTCTATTCACAGAAGTTTTAGAGGAAGCTCTTGTAGGAAATGACACTGAAGGCCCACTATGTGAATTGCTGTTTTTCTTCCTGACTGCCATCTTTCAGGCAATGGCCGAAGAGGAAGAGGAAGTGGCCAAAGATCAAATAGCTGACGCTGAGACCAAAGGTCAGATCTTAATTTTGCTACTTAAAAACTGGAATTCCACTGGAATTAACTTTAAATTGCATGTGTTATTGCATTCCTGTGTTTAACCTTGTCTTACTGTGCATGGATAATGCATATAAATGGACTTATTTTTTCTATTTCCTCTGGAGTAAAAGTTTTAAACTGGGTATGGAGGGCTGGGGAGGGAACAGAAAAAGCAAGCTTGTTGCCGCTATGGTTGCATCCAGCAAAGCATAATAAGCACTTAACAGCGCTGCTTATGTTCTGGAGGTGCAGGAAAGCATCTTCACCTCCTTCTTCCTCCTTCAGCACTGTTAGATGTTTCTCCTGAGGGCCAGGAAAAGAGGCGTTTTACTAAATCTTCTTACAGGTTTTTATCCACAACTATTAAAAAATTAAAAAATAAAAATAAAAAACAGGGCCTAAACCTGATACTAGTTAAAAGACCAAATGCTTGAGTATAGCTATAATGGAAAATTCCATGTTCATTGTCCTTCAAGACACATCAATGTGCATGTAGGCTCCAGGTACTGTTGTGCTGCTGTGCTTCCCAGTAAACATCTTGCACTCGCTGCCTCTGGACTCTGCTCTTAAGACTGAAGCTGCACATGTTTCAGGGGCACTCACTATACATGAATCTCTCAGAAAGAAGCTAATGCTTTATTCTAAGTTTTTGTGGTCAGCAACATTATATGTGTGTCTCCATTCTTAATAGGCTGTTTCTCTTCGCGTTGAGCCAGCTCAGTGATTCAAGTTTTTAGTCCGTGAATGCTCTATGCCTCTTTCTGCAGCACTGCACCTATAATATCTTACTGATTCTACAGAAAATGCTTCAGAGGTCTAATTTTTGACTGAGGCAATGGTTTCATGATGCGAAATGTTTACTGGTTCTGCCAAGTCCAAGTATTCTGTGTCGCCCTTTGCATGCTTCTGGGTATCCAGCCCTCAGAAGGTGCTGCTCCCTCATTCCAGCTCAGCTCAGCTGCACCTGAAACCCTGCTGTGAACAGGAGACTCGTTTGGCCTGTTATGAACATCCTGCATTAGGGCTGGTCACTCTAACACTCCGCATGCAACGGAGGCATCAGACAGGGAGCCTGGAGAATGCTTTGAGATGTTACCGTTGCATCAACCTTCTGCGGGTTGGATCTGTGGCTCAAGAGCTCTGCAGAGCCCTTGCTGGGGCAGCGCTTGGTGAAGGGGGAGGCCACTGCTTGCCCTGCTTGTGTGCAGCATGTCCTGTGCTCGAGGACTGCCAAATCCCCCACTGGTTGGAGGAGAAAATTTGTCCCCCTGTCCTGCTACTCTTACTTCATCAGAGGTAGGCAAGAATATAAGAATATTTTCTGTTTGAGCTCCAGGGAACCCTGTGGTTCCCTGCGAGGCAGATGCAGGAGAAACAGGAAGATTCACACACACACAGAATCGCAGAATGGTTGAGGTTGCAAGGGACCTCTAGAGATCATCTAGTCCAACCTCCCTTCAGCAGGGGCACGTAAAGCAAGTGGCACAGGGTGGCATCCAGGCGGGTTTAAGATCTCCAGAAAAGGAGACTCCCCAGCCTCTCTGGGCAGCCTGTTCCTCTGCTCTGTCACCCTCGCAGGAAAGCAGTTTTTCTTCACATTCCTTTAATTTCTCCCTTGCATCCTGTGTGCTTTCATGCTTAAGATTTGCATCCAATCTGTGACGTGTCTGTATGTAAAGCATGGTACTGTCTTTAGCAATAGGTGCTGCTTGTGGTAAGTGAATAGTATTATAGACTTGATAAAGTGTTAACCAATGTAGAGTTCTAATTAATACTGATTTTAATTATCAGAGAATAGATTCTAATTAGATTCTTTATTGTTCATAGCACTGACCAGAAAAAATGCCATGTAACTCTCATTTTAATTTGAATGTCTGGGGTTGGCAAATGCAGAAACGTACTCTCTCACCTCTTAATTTTGCAGAGTTGGGGGCAAGGCAGTTTGTCTGTTTCCTTCTGCTTTCATTTAAAGCCTTTGAACTTTTATTTTTTGTTAGTCTTGTTCAGACATTTTTTTTTCCCTTGAAAGAATTAATGTCCTTGGCTTTGTAATACTATCTAACCAAACCAGTAGTAGACAGCATGAATGCTTGGACACTTAAATTATGTGCAGGCCATTTTTCGGTTTCTTTTTCAGGCAGAAAATATCATATAGGGGTTTGGTGTGTCCTGCTTTCTCATGCTGTGTTATATAGATATGGAGAGAGGAAGGGCGGGGGGGGTTAATTTGCCAGGTCTGAGTAAAAATTTTGGAACAACATCAGTTACAACGCGAGAACCTGTGAATTTTGCTTTTATTTAGTCTTAGTTTGGATTTGTGGCTGTGTAACTGCTTTATGATTTGGACTGGAGTAAAGTAACATTGTTGAAACGGTTTGTAAGAGTGATGACATTCTGCCAACCCTCTGGAGAAATACCTGCCCAGTGCTAAGGAAACCTTCTGTCCAAGAAACAGTTCTGCTGTTTCTCCCTTTCATTCCCACTGCTTCACTGGTCAGTCTGCTAAAGTGTGTTGCTCCTTACTGAGTGCTGATGCTTCTGTCGTCCAGCTCGTTTTGTTGAAATTTTGTTTCTGTTTAATGATGTACTAATCGTGTGTGTGCAGGATGAGCAAATTTATATCCCAGTTAGATAATAAAAACATACAGTGAGTGATGATAACCATTGTCAAAATGTCTGATCAATTTGAATAATCTTTCCTAAACCCAGAAAGATAATAGGCAATAACAAAACATGTAGGGGTGCAAAGTATAGATGTTTTTGCACTGTTTTTTGCTTCTGCTTTCAAGTGCTTCCTGATTTGTTTCCACTGTCTTTTCTGTTGCCTTTGTGCATGTTTTGTGCCTTGTTGGTTGCTTTAGCAGCTGTATGTAGGGAGAAGAGCTTGTAGCATGTGTTGCATGCCCTTAGTTTTTAGCTGGGTATTTAGTTGGATTTAAGGGTGCATAAACTTTAATTTGGGTATTGAATTGAGTTTTAAATACATTGATGCTTTTGTGACTGTTGGGCCCTTTTTCGCTTTCTCTGCCATTTTTATAAACTGGCTTGCTTTCCTCCCTTCCACAGTACAAGTTTTAACTTGCACTAGAATAAAGTGTTTATTTCCTTAAAGATTTAACAGAGGCTTTGGATGAAGATGCAGACCCCACAAAATCTGCACTGTCTGCAGTTGCAACTTTGGCAGCTGCATGGCCCCAGTTACATCAGGGTATGTGTGGGTTTCACTTCTTGTTTTGTTACCGTTCTTATTTTGCTCTGTGTTTTAAAGCACATTTATATAAATATTTTTGATGTCTGTGAAATAACTGTTCATCCTTCTTAACTGTAGGCTGCAATTTGAAAAACTTGGATCTTGATAGCTGCACTCTTTCTGAGATTCTCAGACTTCACATTCTAGCATCAGGCGCTGATGTAACATCAGCTAACGCCAAATACCGTTACCAGAAACGCGGCGGGTTCGATGCTACTGACGATGCTTGCATGGAGCTGAGATTAAGTAATCCTGGCCTCTTGAAGAAGCTTTCAAGTACCTCAGTGTATGATTTGTTGCCAGGTAATAAAATAATTGTTAGCGATGATGAGACTGCTCTTCAAGTGATCGGTTTTGCAGTTGTTTCAGATTAATGAATCGCTTCTGATTAGTGATCAGTGTTATATCACAGAATAAGTTAGTTTGGAAGGGACCACTGAAGGTCAATCCTCAGCAGGTCCAACCAAACGGGAGACTACAGAGAGATGGACTCTCGCTACCTCTGCATAGCTTTTTAAAATCAAGGGCAAAGTCTGACTTGCAGAGTGGCTCTATGTGGGAGCCGTATTTTGAATGTTTGACTCAGACCATGGTTTTTGTTCTATGCTTAAATTTGGTTTGCTTAAATTATTTGAAAGTGGAGAAAAGATGGATATCCACTGTTCTTGTATCGCAGATTTGAAGGCAGTATTGCCTTTGAGTTCTTAAATGCCTCTTGTTTGCACTGACCAATTTCATCCTGGAGTGCTAAGAGTTTAGAAAATAAAAATAAAGGCACATGTCTCTAAGCAAAGCAGATATTTCAACCATTTCAAGAAATGTCTTTTTGCACATGCAAGCTAATACTGTACATGTATTTGACTTCTCTTTGTTTAATGAGAAGCCTTCAGTCTGCAGTGTGTAACAGCAAGGATCATTTATCAATTCTATAATGGAATATAAACATGAGTGTGAATTTTATTAGGAGAAAAGATGAAGATCCTGCATGCCCTCTGTGGGAAACTTCTGACTCTCGTCTCCACTCGAGATTTCATCGAGGACTCCGTTGACGTGTTACGGCAGGCGAAGCAAGAGTTCAGAGAACTGAAGGCAGAACAGCATCGCAAAGAGCGAGAAGCGGCGGCAGCAAGGTGACCTTTTTTGCATCCTCTGTTGGTTCCTTGAGGAAAAAGGAGCAGAACTTTGTGCTAAGCATTATACTTCCCCAAATTACTGTTACTTTTAGATGCTGCTGTAGAGTCCAAGTGGAAAAAATGCAGTTAGAGTAGATACTAGATGATTTGCAACTGATTTTCTGTTTCCTTCCTACCATTAGGATACGTAAGAGGAAAGAAGAAAGGTTAAAAGAACAAGAGCTAAAAATGAAAGAGAAACAAGAAAAGCTGAAGGAAGAGGAGCAAAGAAATCTTGCTGCAGAAGTACCTGTTGGGTATGATGAATTGTATTACTGCCATACATATGATTGTGGGCCTGCTTTTTAATTGGCACTTTTAGTGTATGTGTCAGAGCTTCCCTATTTAGTTTCATTAACTTAAATACAAATATACTTCGTTATATAGTCAAATATATAGCTCTTAATGTTGATTATTCTTCTTGTTTCTAGGATTGTTTTGTGAAAGCAATTTTATTTTTTAAATCAGTTTTAGTGTAATGCTAATGCTAACATGACAGCTTTACTTAGTGGCCAGAGAAGTTTCCAAAATTTAATTTGTATTTTTGCGTGACTTTTTGTTTGTATTGATTTCATATCTATGAATATCTTCATAGTAGTCCATTCCAGTTTTTCTAATTTGAAAAACTGGTCTGAGCTAGATAAACTATTATGTGAGGTCCGTATTATGAGTCGAATTAGTAACACAGCATTTCTTAAAATATGCTGTGCTAGCCCAGGTGATTTCCAAAACCCAAGATTTTTTTTGTTCTATTAATAAAACTGTATGGTTTCAGGTTGTAAGATTCATGCACATGCAGCTGTACATGATTCCAGAAAAAAAAATCAAAATGTATATACAACACTATATCTTTACCAGCTTGAGGAAGGGAGTTAGTTAAATAAATCTGCTTGCAAGAGGTGAGCACGGGCCAGAGACAGATTTTTGCTATGTTTCTGAAAGTGTAATTGGGAAAAGAAAAAAATAAAATATTTTCCTGTAAGGGGCACATGTACTTCTTAAGGCTGTTAATTATACTTAGTTGATCAATAAATGTATTGTAATCTTTTGTAAAATAGTGTGCCTTTTCATAAGGAAACATTTTTGGTTTTAGTAATGAAAAATAATTCAACTTAATAGAATAATGCTAAAATACCTGTTGTAGGGGTCTTATTATAAGAATGTTCTTTAAATATGTGAATAAATATAGTGAAGACCAAAGTGATAGGTTGAGTGCTTAGCATGGAGCTTTTCAGCTATATTTCAGTATCTTTGCCTTGTTGCTTACAAAATATTTTCAATTATTTAAGGTTAATTTTAAAAAGAAAAAAAAGCTATGAAGCATTACAGATCTTTTAAGCACTTTGAAGAGGAAAAGACTGATTAAATTAAATATCCCATATTGTATTGTATATTTTTTTTCCCCATGACATTCAGTTTTTAAAATGTGACTGGTCACCTCAGTTTATTTTGTCCTACCAGGGAGGAGGAACGGGAAGAGCTTGATACCAGCACAGAGAGCAAAGAAGTTGAACGTAAAGAGCAAGACATGGACACAGTAACAGAGGATGAAGAGGAGTTGGGACCAAACAAAAAAGGGAGAAGAGGTAATCCTTTAATGTAATGCTGTAGTGCACTGGTTTATTTATATGCATATACCTGGGAAACTGCTGCCTTCTGTAGCAAGCTTTTATGAAATATTAGTCTTCCTTGTAAATTAACAAGAAGGCAAGGATCATGATGGGTTATTAAGGACATAGAGCTGGCCTGATCTCGTTGGAGCTGCCAGCTGTACGTGCTTTCACACTTTTGTTCCTCTGGTCTCCCATACCTACTGTGTGCTAATGAGGGATGAATAGCCGATTGCTTACATTGCTAGCTTATCTGTTCCTTTCTGTCTTGACAGCTTTGTGGTAGTGTCTGTGCCAAATGAAAGCCTGTGGATGGTTTTTGACTTTTATACTGCAGTTGTACCTGCAATAGAAACTCTGAATCTTTTAGTTGCACAGTTTAGACTTTTTAGTTACACAGTTTGGATTTCGTTACAGTTTTATGATGAAGACCTAAAGAAAGCTTGGAAATAATTTCAAGTTTCTCAGATTCTCAAGAAAGTCTGAGACATTATGCCTCTAGGGTAGACAAGTGTTTCTCCCTCTTGGCTGCAAACAGAGAAACTGAGAGTCGTGCTAGAAAACTGAAAGCTGTGGATGCTGTCAGCATCTTTCGCAGTTTCACTTTTCAATTAAAGACCTCTTTTTCTGTGTAACTGTTGGAACCAGACTGACAAACTCAAATGTGAACTGGAGTGTATTTAGTGGGGTGAAAAGGAAATAATAGTATATGAAAAAAGAAATTGGCTAATGTAGCCAAGTTTGCAATATAAGTTTTATATATGGATTCTGATTTTACTTGAAGTCTTGTGAGATTTGAGTGTTTCATGTATGGAAAACTAGGTCCAAAAGGTATTTTATATTTAATAATGAAATTGTTAGAATTTTACTGTCATGATAGAAGATTATTTTATAACATACTTTTAAGTTCTTAAAATATTCTTCTTTTTACAATGTTAAAATGATGTCAGTAAGTGAGACTTAGTCTGGTATACTAAAGTACGATAAAGATGGCTTCTTTTTTATTAAGGGAAGAGGATAATACCTTCTGAATGTTTCTCTAGTATAGCTAGTATTTGTTCCTTGAGTGGGTTCATGTTCCTTGACACTATAAGTTTAGCAGGGGAGAGAAGCAAAAAGTTGCCCTTTACTTGTCTTATTTTAATTGAGTAAAAAAAAATACAGGCATGTTGCTATCACTCTCCTTCCTTTTACTTTTAGGAAGGAGAGGGCAAAATGGATATAAAGAATTTACAAGGCAAGAAGAGACCATTTCTGAAAAGAGTGAACCTCTTACTGCTGAAGAGGAAGAAGCTTTAAAACAGGAGCAACAGAAGAAAGAGAAGGATCTGCTAGAAAAGATTCAGAACGCGACAGCCTGCACAAATATCACCCCTTTAGGTCGCGACCGCATGTACCGACGCTACTGGATTTTCCCCTCTGTTCCTGGATTGTTTATAGAAGAGGATTTTTCCGGTCTCACAGAAGACATGTTGTTGCCTCGAACCTCTTCCTTTCAGAGTAGTGTACAGTCTTGCACAAGTGAACCTCAGGTATTCAGTAAAACTGGAGAGTCTTTGAAATCCTCTGAATCTACCTCCACTCTTGACCAAGATTCACACAGCAGTGTTGTTGTAGAGGTGCCAAGGCCAGTATATAAACCAAACCGTTGGTGCTTTTATAGTTCTCGGGAACAACTGGACCAACTCCTTGAGGCTCTCAATTCCCGAGGACATAGGGAGAGTGCCTTAAAAGAAACTCTTTTACAAGAGAAAAGTAGAATATATGAACAACTAAGCAGTTTTCCTGTGGAAAAATTCCATATTCCAGGTAAAGGAAAAGTTCCTGATTTCTCTTTGCTTCTGCAGTTGTAACTTTAATACAAGATGCTAGTAACCTGTAATTCTCATTTAATTTCAATAATTAAGAGATAAGAATTATATGTATTTTGCTCTGAGATATGTTTTGAGAGTTTGGGGAATATTTTTTTGCTGTTGTATCTGAATTTTTTGGTGTTACATTAAAAAGTGCAATAGCTACTGTCTTTCCTCACTGCTTAGTAAAATCAAATTTGCTTAAAAAAAAAAAAAGTAGGAAATAATTTGAGATTTGGCCAAAGATTAATTACACGCAATTTGGGAATAAAGATTAAAGGTAAATGTGCTAAAGATGAATCTTAGTATTGATCATTTCACACCTCATTTCCCTCACCATACTGAAAAGTATTATGCCTTTGGAGACATAAACATTATGAAGAGAAGCAGTGCTGTTATGTTCATATACGTATTTTGAACAAGGGATAGGTGGTGTGTGGCAAAGTTACACTAAAATCTTTGAGAGGAAAAAGGAAAAAATGTGTGGTTGTGGTGGTGTTTACATGGCATAGTATCAGGGCAGTGAATTTTGTGACTTTGGGCAGATGCTCATTACAGGAGGACAAGGGATATGCAGAATGTTTTCGTGGATTCAAAATGTAAAATATATTTTAAATCCTTCTAGGTTTAGATATTTAGTTCCCCTTTGATGATTCCATTTTAGATCTCTAGGTCCCCTTTCTCTTGGTGGAGACTAACCTAGCACAGGGGCCAGTAGTTGAGCTTTAATTGGGGGTCTTGTGAGTATGTTCTTGTCTTCTGGTGAGAATTTCTATGCCCTTTTCTACTCCTTACCTTGTGGCATAGCGGTGGTGTTCCCTTGTTTTGCTAGCTGCTCTATATTTTGTGTGTTGCTTTCCTCCCTGAAGCCATCATGTTCCTACACACATTTGCTTTTCTGTGCTAAAATTATAAAATAATGTTGACACAGGGTTATTTTTGGACTTGAGATATTTCATTTTAATAGCAAGAAAATTAAAATGCAGCTGTTTAATGCCAGTGCCTCCCCTGCATGATCAGTAACGAAGCGTGCCCTTGTGCAGTTCTGCTTAGGAGAGGGCTTTGCTCTAGCAGAACGGGACCGCCTCGTCTCCTTTATTCAGATGACAGGCAGGACAGTTGGGAACTAATCTGTGATTATTTTTTTTTCCCTGCGCTGCAGACTGCCATTCTTCTTCCTCTTCTCACTCGCAAGAAAATGGAAATAAAGCAAAAATGCGCTATTACGTAATTTTAAATATTTACTCTAGTATTTTTTTAAATTCTTTTCAGTGTCATTTGTTTGCAAGCCAATTGCTGCCATTTCATTTCCGCAGCTGCTTTTAAACTAGAAAGGGCATTTCCCTGACCCAGACATCATTGCTTGCTAATACCCATTTTGAGAATATTTACATAATTACTGTCAGTCACAGGGAATTGTTTCTGCAGCTAAGAGTGTGATATAAATTCACCCTGTGCTGCTTTGACAGCAGCTTTAAGATTTTTTTTGTTTGGTATCTCCAAGTTTTTGCATACTTCCAGCCACCACTGTATGTCATTACCTTAATCCTGTGAACAAAGACATATGCGGGTTTTACCAAGCATAATTTAGTGTCTGTGCCTGCTTCCAGCTCTTCCCTGTGGCTTCTGAGCTCTTGCATGTATTTTCAGTTGCCTTGTGAAGAGGCCTTTTGTGTGATACCTCATCATCAACTCCTCCATCCCCTTCTTTTTCATATATTTTTTTTTAATTGGCAGGTACACAGTCTAATTCATACCTGTGCCATCTTCTTTTTTTTTTTTTTTCTCTCCCCAGCTGGATATTTTAAAGGGATTTTATTTGTCCTTAAATTGTTCAGTTAGGTTTTCTGACTTTACATCTGGACATGTGTGTTTTAAACGTTGCCGTGATACAAGAGAAAACTGAGTTGTTTCCTCTATAGAGTAAGAGCAGTCCCATCAAATAGGCAGCCTACTAGAAATGTGACATTGTCTTTTTTTTTTTTCTCTTATCGCCTGTATTTATAGCAGAGAGAAGTTGTTGTCTATCTACTTTAGAAATTATAGAAACATAATTACTTTTAAATTAGCAAGAATCTCTCATCTTGCGTTTTGGGAGGCACAAATGCTAATTTGTAGGTCTTCTGTTAAAAGTATAGCCTGCTTGCTTGGCTTAGGAGCCTTAGTTGACGTGGAGATGCTTGTATTGAGTGCTCTCATTACTGAAAGAGATTTCCAAATGTTAAAACAGGCTGGTTTGTCCTGCCCTCTATCACTTTCCCTCCCTGCACTCCAGCTGCTTTAAGGAGCAAAATCCAGTAACAAAAAGTTATTTGGAATTGTTGCAGACAAACCTCAAAGTGACATTAGACCTCCTTCAGGACGGGGAAGAATGCCAAACGCCCTTGATGCATCTCAGAAATCTGCAGAAAAGCAGCTTGAATTGAGACTTAGAGACTTTCTTTTGGACATTGAAGACAGGATCTACCAAGGAACATTGGGGGCTATTAAGGTATCTGTGAACTGTAGAGTACCTGGGAACAAAGTGGTGCCTCCATGTCTGCAGCCTAAATAAGAACTCTTTCCTGCTATGGGTTTTGCCAAAAGACTTAATTTGAATTAAGTATGTACAGTAACTGGCACTAAAAAAGGTTGTGGTCTTTCATTCTTTAGAAACTTCCAATTTGTGTGTTTGCTTCAGGTTACAGACAGACAGTCTTGGAGAGCAGCCTTAGAACATGGGCGGTATGAGTTTCTAAATGATGAAAACAAGGAAAATGGTGTAATTAAAACTGTGAATGAAGAATCGGATGAAATGGAAACTGATGATCAAGATAAGTTTATTGTGAAAGACAGGTAAGAACTATCTATGATTTAAGTAAAGTCTCTGAATTATGTGGTGAACTGAACAGTGTGCTATTACATGAATCCTGATAAGAACCATCAGTGCAAGACTGTGACCTGGACTAGACCCTTTACCCTTATAGGAGGACAGTGCTATCTAAGTGGGGCGTGAGTGTGTTTGTTTTTAACCTAACTTTTGAGGGAGATCCAGGGCTTGCACTAAATCGGTGTTTATTCCAAAGGTAGACATTATGTATTTACTAGGAAATTTTCTAAATATTTCATTCTCAGTATGCTTTTCAGAAGCATGCTTCTGCGTGCTTTTCAGAAGTAAAAGTACGAATATGTTGTTTAAAAAAAAAAAATCTTGAATGATGTAAATTATGAAACGCTGTAGAAAAAATCAATTTAGAAGGATCATTGTACTCAGGTATTGTGTGTGTTTGTGTGTTCTGTGAGGTTTCCTGCTAGTCCTGTTTTTATCTTACGGGTAAGCGAGTTGAATTTTTATCCTAAGAAAGCGAGAGCCTTTTTTGACACACTCTTGAATCCTGTATTTTGTGGGAATTTAAACTTCAGGGTTTTTCCATTTCTATTTCAGTTGGCTGAATTAGTACTTTTCATGTAGGACTTTCAGATATGAGTTCTCCAGTTGTATGCAAAATGGATAGGTACATTTCTTTTAATATCAGTGGCAGTATTTATGGAAATTTGTGTCCTGAAAGCCCGAGCATAGAAATGTTCTGTTGTTTTCATGTACTAAGAAACTGAAATTTGTCTGTTACCTCAGGCAGCCAGTCCCGCTGCACAAGCTGGTTGCTTCATCTTTGTCTCCGTGACACTGACTTCATCAAAGTTTCTGAATTGTTGCAGCTCTAGTATTAAAGTCAGGCCTATTAGAATAGAGACTGTGGGATTCTGCAGTCATATGATGGGTTCCTTTTGATGCTGAGCTTTTTATCCACCTCAGAGCAAGTGACATCTCATTAAGACCTTGGAGTCTGACTAGTGTGATGTAAATAAAGTGTACAGCTTTTTTGTGTTGGATTTCAGGCTCTCTTAAGTGTGGGTGGCTATAAAATATAATGAACAGCTTTTAAGTGTGGAAAAAGAACAGGAGCAACTAACAGCATTGCTCATTCACTAGAATAAAGCAGAATTCAGACAGTCGTAATTAGCTATGTTTCTGATAAACCCCAAGCAGAAATTGAATATTTTTCATTAGTGAGAGTTGCTCTTGTAAATTCTACTAATGTGTGTGGTTAAGGAAGATTAACTACCCTTTGAAATGATTGCTTAGGCCTTGGTCAAAGAAGGCTGCCTTATTGGAAAACTACATTTTATTGTTGTTCGAGGATTAAAAAAGAAAATCCCATAGCACATCCCTCCCAAGGCAGTGTGTTTTGCTGTGTTCAGTTGTTGAAGCCAGGAACTTCAGTAATGTACGTGCTGGGGCTGATGTACCTTAGGTTTAATTCTTAGGAGAAACCATATACTTGAAATGAAATCCTGACTTATTTTCTGATTTCATCTGTGTCATCCAAAATTGTATAGCTTGCTCCTTTTTTCATCCGATAGTTTTAAAAGGAGATTTTGTGTAATGAAACAATTAGAAATAGTTTTAACAGGCTGTTTCTGTACTCATTAAATCTTTTGAAATCTCTTTTTTATTGCTATAGATGTTTTCCTTGTTTTTGTTTCATTAAGTATTTTAGAGAAACTCTCTGTGGGGTTGACCATAACTTAACTCTTTCAATGTGTCATTGTACCCTCCTCCAATGTATCATAAGTTCTGAATCTTGATGGTTTAAAGAATATACATGGTCAAACTTCTGTAGATGGAGATAGTCTAAAATGCTTCACCTTACCTCTGGCAGAGCTTTTACTTAAATAATGAAACTCTACCCTTTGAAGTTTCTCATGAAGTGGCTGGTGGATGTCGTGTCACAATCTGGAATTCTTAATAGGTTATAGTGAGCTTTATCAGCTGCATTTCTTAAGATCTCTTTAACTCTGTTACGTAAGAATGATTTAATGACTAATTTGGGTGAACTAGGTTAGTCATGCCAATTCTGTAGTTGAATAAATCATCCCACTTGAGCAGAGTCTTTTGTATTCCTACTTGTATAAACCCCCTGTATACATGTGTGGATCTATGTCAATACCTTTATGTTGAATTCATAATATCAAAAATCATATTTACTACTTTTTTATTTTAGACTTGTTGGAATAAAAACTGAAGCTCCCAGTGCTGCATCAACAAGTACAAGTACTCCTCAGGCAGTTAATAATGTGGTCCACTACTTGGCGTCTGCACTGCTTCAGATAGAGCAAGGAATCGAGCGCAGGTTTCTCAAAGCACCTCTTGGTAAGCTTACAGGATTGAAACAGTGTTTCTAGTTTTCTTTAAGATTTCTTTTTGACTTTTTTTTTTCTTTTTGCTTCTTTCTTGAAGACTGGATGTTTTAGAGTGTTGCATTTGGGGAAAAAGAAAAACCTATTTCTGTATGAAATTGTGAAAGATAAAAAATGTTAGATTACAAATACAACGGGCAACCACCCCATGAAATCCTTTTACATGTCTTTAGGTTGTAAAAATGTAAACTTCTTTTTACATTGTTTCTGTGAAACTAGTACAGGGCTGGTTTGTCTGGATTATATTGTTCAGCAATAACAGATTGTTTATAGTGGAAGTCAGTAAAGGTTTATATCGCATATTTTAAGATTCTCAGGTATTACACAGTAAAAGATGGAAATGAAGGATCGCAAGGGGATAAAAAGCGCAATCACAGTTTGACTGCAGCAAGTGTTACTTTGTTCTGGCACTGCCAGAATCTGCCAGAGCCGGATTCTGACGCTGGTTTGTGGTGGTCCCTCAGGTCTGCATCCTTTTGGGATTCGTGTTTGGGTTTGTCATATGACGGGTTCCTTGGGTTTCGTGTTGGATTTCGGTGCCCGGGTGATGCATCCCTGCGAAGGCAGGTGCCCCTGCCCGGCCTTGCCCTCCAGGTGCGCTGCTTGGGATGAGCTCTCTCTGTGCCCCCGTCACCCCCTCTGTGAGCAGCGGGTGCCGTTCAGATGCTGCACGCGCCGGCCAACATCCAGCACTGCCTGCTGCTAAACCAGCCCTCCCCGGGGCAGGGGCTGTCTACAAAATCCTCCAGCTTTGGCAGGTTTCAGTGCAGCTGATGTTAATACTGCTCATCTGTGCGTTTTCACAAGAGACTGCTGCGCTGTGGCACAGCTGACATAGGACCATGTTTGTGCATCTCCTGCGTGCATTCTGGTGTCCTGTTAGTTGTCCATGATGGTGAGCTTCACATGTGTCTCTACTGGAAAATCTGGCACGCATGGACGTGGGTTGCCTCACCCAAGCTTCTTCCATCAACGTGGGTATGTCTAGCAGGGGAGTAAGTAGCAAATCCCTGACATGGAAGGGGAGAGCAAAGAGCTAATTTAAATGGCAGCTTCTTGAGAATTTTGGTTAAATGTTAGGTCAGCTCGAGAGTGTCCTCCCTTTCCAAGCCAGGCGTGTTACAGCTTACCTCGGTAGCCTGCTTTCCTGCACGTGGCTGAATGTACGGCACGTGCACGGGACAGCAAACGGGCAGGGCACCTAGTGCTTCTCTGCCTGCCCTGCATGTGCCGCCTGCCAGTGCGTTCTGCACATCCCTGGCAGCAGCACCAACAGCATCTTGCTCGTGGCCACCAGGCTGCCACCGTCCCTCCTGAAGGGGAGGAAGAAGAAAACCACTGGCTGTGAGTAGACTCTTGGCTGTGGATAGTCCATCCTGAGTTAAATGCAAAAGCGCTCAAGTGAGGTGTTCTCACTTGAGGACTTCTGGCCATGACCAAAAGACCTAACTGCAAGGTGTCCAGGAAACCTGTGTATTAGAGAGGCACCCAGCGAATTCAGGCACTTTAGAGGTCAAGCAGCGGTTTCGGATGCAGCCCTTTTTGGATATCACCCTTTGCTCTTTCAAATGTGTTCAAAAACAGTACAGAATTTGTAAATTTTGAGCCTCAACCTTAAGCGCCAGGGAAACACTGTCTTTGTGTGTTGCTAAAGCAAGCCCTGCTTGCTTGTTTGCAACTTGCATGTGTATGATAGCCAAAGATGTTCCCACTTCACTTAGAAAGGTGTTAATACTATTACTTAACATCTTCAAAGGGGGGCATTATGAGGGGCTACTTGTTCAGAGATACCTTCTTTTATGAATATATCTAGGAAGTGACCAAAAATGCTGTGAGGGTAGAAACTGGCGTTTAGTGTGTAATGTGTAACCCTTTGGTGGTACTTTGGGATGGGGCGTTTTGTTTTGGCGTTTGGCTTTGTTTTCTGTTTGTTTGTTTGGTTTTTTTTTTTTTCTTTATTTCATTTAATATATTGAAAAAAAGAAGTACATAACAGGTATTTCTCTTTATATCTGTCTTCACTGCTTAGGAGAACTTTCCACTAAACAAAATGCCTATCTTTAATACTAATTGAACCTTCCAAATCCAACTTTTAAAGCTGATTTAATTATCCCTGAAGTAAAAGCATTGACTATCAAAAAGTGCTGTGAGTCCTGCTTTGGCTGTAGTACAGGAGGTTATTTTTCGTAAGATTAGTAGATTAGTCCCTCGTGGGTTTTTTTTTTTTTAAGCTTTAAACCAAACTAAATCTTTCCTTTTCCTCGTTATATCTGTCATTGCCTTTGCTATGGTTTTTCTGTTGTTTTGTGTTGTTCTTTTCTTTCTCTTTTTTGTGCTTTCACTCTATGCTCTCTTCCCATCCCATAGCGGAGCCACAGGGGAAGCACTTGGCAGTGTTCGCTCTATTTGCACCCCAAGTCCTAAGGAACAGCACAGAGAGAGTCACTGCAGTCACTGGCAAATTCCGCCCCGTGGCCTCCAGGGTGCGGAGCAGACCGAGGGACCGTGCGGGAGTAAAGCGCCCGGCTGCTGCTCTGCTCGCTCCTGCTCGAGGCCCGGGGCCGCCTGAGCCTCCTGGGCCTCCGTGCGGAGCGCCGGGAAAGCCCCGGGAAGGGGCGACGCAGGAGGAGAGGGAGATGCCCCCGGAGCGGCGCGGTGCGGCGCGGCGCTGCCTGCCCGCAGCGGTGGTGGGTGCCTGCTGGTCTGCTGGTGTTGGGTGCCTTGAATTGAACAGCACGTGGCTTGGATTGGGAGCATTTCTTAATTATGAATTACCGATTCGAAATCCTTTCATTACACATTGACTGTCAAGGCTTGTGGGGTTGTGTTGTTTTGTTTATTAAAGTAGCTGTGGAAGCTCTGAAGTGTTTTTGCTTCTCAAATACAAGTATGTTTGAAGGGGAAAACACAGGCAGCTTTAGTTGTGTATTTTGCTTCTCTTAACATTGTTTTTTCTTACATTCCAAATGTAAGCAGAGAAGCTTTTACAGTGAAAGGGTATGTCCCATCGTTCCTGTTACATAAATGTGGAAATTGAGGTGTAAGATGAAGTAGTACCTTGCTCACGTAGGTGTCCTATGAGGCAGACAAAAAAAATCTCTTTTTGCACCTGTGCATAAGCACCTCTTTAAGTTTAATCATATGTAATCGTATTTACTCTGCATGTACTTCCATACAAAAGGCTGGATTCCCACTCAGAGACACCTTTGTGACTGATAATTTGGAACATTGACTTCCCTTTTAACTTGTGCCATGCACTCCTTGCAGGAGAAGAAAAATACAGGTTTCCCACTACTTGTTTGTCTTTGTTCTGTTCTTCTCTTTCTACATTTTTATTGTTAGTGTTTTTCTACTTCCAGGGTTGGTGGTGGTCCAGTTTATGCTTGTCCTCCTAAAAATGCCATGAGGCCCCTTGCAGCCGTGCGTTAGACACGGGTAGCGCGTGTGCCATCGCTGTGCTCCCCTTCCTCACCATCCCCGAGGGCTGCGTGAGGCTGCAGAGGCGGGGGGGAACGGGGGTGTCTCCTGATGAACCTTCCCTGTGTGTGTTTGCTGTGCAGAGAAGGGCAGGGACCAGGGAACGGTACCCTAATACCTTGTTTAAAAAGTGCCTCGGTGCCTTGTATGTGGAGCATCTAAGGTTCAGCGTGGCTCTTCTGGAAGGATAATTTCATCCAGAACGTCCCTGCACAAAAGCATCTCAGTATGGACAGACAAGCCAGTTTTCTTGGTCCCCGTGGACTGCGCTCTTGAGGACGCTGCACCCCGAGGTGTTGGGAGAGCCGTGACGTTAGTGGGCAGGGAAGCTGCCTGCCGGGAGTGGGTCTGCTGCCAGGAAGCTGCTTCTGGAGCCGCACGGGAAGGGGAGGGAGGGAGCCCCGGAGGGAGCCGGGGCGAATCCGGAGCCACACGGTTACTCCGCTCTGCAGCGCTGCTCTGCCCTTCCCTGGCTGGGAACCACCGCTCTGGCCGTGTTTGTAGGCTAAACAAGTAGGGGTTATTCAAGCTGGCATTTTAACGTAAAAATCCACCATGTTTCAAAAAGGTTTTTGAAATAACTTTGTTAATTTAATGTCAGGTAATGCAGAAGATAATAAAAGGAAGCAAAGGGGGGATAAAAAGAGGAAGAGAGAGGAAGACCAGACTAGTCAGAGAGATGGTAATTTTTAAATGTTTGCTTATATTGATAAGACTTAGAAAGCATTGAATATTTAATATCTCTTTTCTTTTATTATTTTTCTTCACCTTAGTAATTTTCTAGCGAGTAATTCTCTTGCTTACATTGAAAGAATTGTAGCTCTGAAACCAACAGTTTAAACTTTATTTGAAATAATAAAAAATAGAGCTTAAAGGTAAAAGAAAAAGCATTTTTCAACCTGATATGAGGAGATGTTTTTTTTCTGTTTTCTCTGTGTGTAGTTTTATTATTTATTTACTTTACTGGGGGGGGAGCAGAAATCTGCATATTCATAAACTATTTTTTTAATGCCCCTGGTTTTTGAAACTTCTCAGCATTTAGCAGCTGCATATTATTTTCTAGAAATACTAAAGCAAAAAACCATTCCCTGAACTCAAGTAGCTTTTGATAAATGAGTGTGTAGATGTGTCAGAAAGTCTTAATTTGCATTTAGCAAGGCTGCGGAGGGCTGAGCTGAGAGAGGGGCATCCCACTGAGCAATGTAGAGCTGCTCAGGCACAAAGGAAGAGGCCATTTCTCCCTCAGAGTTAACAGTATAAATGGAAAAGATGATGAATGGAAGAAAAGAAGTGTTATTTTGGTTTTACAAATTGGGAACTGAGACTGCGTGTTGTTTGGCAAGTGTTCCTCCCAGCAGCAGGATATGCTGGAGCAGGCCCTGGTCAGTAATCTCTGCATCTTTATAGCAACTGCAATTGTGCCCCTGCAAATACTTGTCATGTTGTGTGAGGATCTATATTGGTGAACTGATCCAGGTTAAAAATAACTGCTGAAAAAATTAGTTGGTAACACTCAAGCTGCCATTTTCAGCAAAAGAAGCACTATGTAATATATGCGCTTAAGATAAACTGGGTTATAGAAATCTGTGGAAAATCTGAGAGCTGATCTGTTTCTCCAGTTGTAGCTAGTGCAGTAGTTATGTACTAAACTACTAGTACAGTGATAGTGGGGTAAGCAGCTACTTTAACTTCTTACTGAATTTTAAATATTACATTGAAAGCTATACTGTAGAGATGTACAAAGGAACTTGTTCATTATCCTTGAAAAAACTGAATTTGAGACAGGAAATCTAGGCATAAAGTAGTGGAAATCCAGGTTTGTATCTGCAGCTATGTTTTATTTGCCAAGCTGTGCTGCCTATTTATCCTCTCTTCCTTCATCATTGCTCCTGTGCTGCTTGCTGCTAATGCAAATGTATGCAAGATTAGGCAAATCCTGGCAGAGAGGAGATGAGAAGGCAGAAAAGCCTTGCTAGGAGAGCAATTATTCTCATTTTTGTTCTTTCATTTTATTTGTTATTAGACATTTTCCTATTTCTGGGGAAAAAACAGACAGCTGCATTGTGGGTCTTTCCTGTGCCCGCTGTGACAAGGAGGGCGGGCAGGGAGGCGCTGGGCACTTGAGCGTGTGGTTAGTCAGCACCAACAACCAGAATGTTGGTTCTGAAAGGCAAATCCGTGAATGTTTCTGTAACCAAAAATACCGCTGTGTGTTTTTCCCTCTACTTAAACTTTCTTGCCTTAAAATGCAAGAAGTCAGTTTCACCATTTACACAGGAGTTTGCTTTCTGCTTAGCAGCAGTGACACAGGATGTAATTTATACCTTCCCATTTCTATACATGCTCAGACGGCCCATTTACTTCTGTAGGTCCCAGCTGCTCCTTCCTGTTCTTACTGCCCCTTTCACTGTTCTATACATGTATTTGAATGACCACTTCAGTGGCCTATATAGAAAACCAGACCTGTTTGAAAAATAAGACAGTTTTTCCTCCTGGCCACTTTAGAATATTTCTAAACTAAACTGGATCTGGTATCTTACTTGTTTTGCCACCAGGTGTGTACCACGGCATCAGATGTGCTGTCTGATAGGAGTAAGTGGAGGTGGAGACAGCCCTGTAAGCTCTTTGTTGCCAACAAACTCTATTTAATGCCCAGTAGTTTCTTTAACTGTAATTTTTTGGGGGATTTGATGTCTATAGACAAGGCAAAGTAAATCAGGAGAACGGGCTTGTTCTTTTTTTATACATTCTTAACTGAATCAAGCTGTTAGATTTCCATGCAGGTTGATGTCTGAGGGAGACTTGTTTCTTACTCGCATGTCCTGTATGCGTGCAAGTGCTAAGCCGAATTGGTATCGGAAAGCAACAGCTTACAGGTCTGGAAATGGTGGAGGAACTAAGTATTGAAAACTTAAGATAAAGGTTATAATATTATCCCAATTTACTGCTGCATATCTATTTGAAACACAAAGCGTTACCTCATAGTCTAGAATAATCTGGGTGTTTGAACAACAAGTTTGATCCTGCTTTTTCTTTCTCTAACGGAAGATGCCAGTGATGGTGGACGATCCTATAAAACAGTTCTGGATCGCTGGAGAGAGTCGCTTCTTTCTTCTACCAGTTTGTCCCAAGTCTTCCTTCACCTCTCCACGCTGGATCGAAGCGTCATCTGGTCCAAGTCTATTCTCAATGCGCGCTGCAAAGTGTGCCGGAAGAAGGGCGACGCGGAGAGCATGGTGCTGTGTGACGGCTGCGACCGAGGCTATCACACCTACTGCATCAGGCCCAAGCTTAAGGTATCTGAGGGAAGAAAGATGTTTCCTTTTCATACAAAAAATGGGAGTAGTGTTCACAGCTAATGGCATCTTCCTAATGCTTTCTTTTTCCTCCTGTTACTAGGTTATTCCTGAAGGAGACTGGTTCTGTCCAGAGTGCCGACCGAAGCAGCGCTCCAGGCGCCTCTCCTCCAGACAGAGACCTTCCCTGGAAAGTGATGAAGAGGCTGCTGAGCGAATAGAAGAAGGGGAAGACGGTGCAAACTATGATGAAATGGGACAAAGTGAGGAGGAGGATTATGAAGATGAACAAGATGAGGAGGATGAATCTCAAGAGGAAGAGGAAATAAGGTAAATAGAGATCCATTAAAATAGTTTTGTGTAGGAATACTTTGGCTAGTACGTGTTAGGAAAATTTCACATCAACATATGTCTCAGAAAATTCAGTTTGAAAGAGATGCAAGCAGAGGGGCTTGTTATGAAATTGGCTCTTCTGCTGCGTTTAGTTCTGGTCAGAGCAAGGACCACTGGATGTGGATTCATTTTCCAAGGTGAGAGTTGCAGCGTTGGGTGTGTGCGTGAGAGATGGCCATCGGGTTTGTGTTCTGTGCAGCTACTGTTCTGAATTTAAATTCCGGAGCAGAAAGTGGAAGGAGTCTCACAGAGAAGATTTTCTGAAGAAAATCTAGAGATTTTTTTTTTCTTTTGTCTTATGTTGAACTTTGGGTCACTAGATGCATAAGATTCTGAGTAGCAGAAAGGGGAAAAGACAATCCGCACAGGACTACATCGCATTGCTGTACAGCACAGTAGCTGCTTTAAAAACAAACTAAAGAATCCCATTTGACAATTTCAGTGAAGTAATGAATTTGACATAAATGTAAGATCCATAAATGTTGAAGGAAACTATTCTGATCTATGAGACCTTTTCTTGTTTTCTGTGCAGTCATTTGAATTGACTGAAACAAGATCATCTGCTCCGATAGTTGGGATTCAGTAGCTGGAGAGAGCTTTGCAACTCCTTGGGAAGTAAAATTTGTATCTGGGATCTTTCTTATCTATTGTAATGGCATGAAAATCCTAAGTGCCAGTTACAAAACCAGGCTAAAGCCTAACTTTTATGTCTAAGTTTTTAAAACTTGAGTTTACTTATGTAACTGGTAATATTCTTCACAAATCCTAGTAATGACAGTTGCTGCGAAAAATAATGAGGCAATGTAAAGGAATTGATAGATGATAGCCCAGGTAATGAACTTGCATTGCCTGAGTTAGAATCCTGAGAATTTCTCTTTAATGAATCTGCTGCTCATAATAATTAATTAAGAAACTTGAGCGCAGTATTCAAGAAGGGATAGCTGGATCATAGTTAAAGCCTGACTGATCCAACCTTGAATAGTTGCTTTATTTTTACATGCTGAATCAGAAAATTGAAAGATAAGCGGGGAGTATAATTTTGGGATAAATACCATCATAATTATCCTTTTTTTGTAGCCCGTCAAAGCAAGGAAGACCCCAAGTCAAGTTTCCATTGAAGATGAGAGCAGCCAAACTCAACAATCCTTTCTCCAGCCGGAACTGCCAGCGCCCGGCGAGATACGCGGCGCGGAGCCAGCCAAGCACGCCCAAGCAGCCGGGCTCCGCGGCCAGGGGCACCAGGAGGGGCCTGAGGAAAGTGAAGTCGGCCCCTCCGTCGGTGACCAAGCCCACGTTAAGACTGCACAGCCGGACCACGCGCCAGAGCCAGGGCTCGCTGCAAGCAGATGTGTTTGTGGAATTGCTCAGTCCTCGAAGGCGGCGGCGGGGAAGGAAGAACGCTGATAACGCGTCCGAGAGCAGCCCCTCCAGTTCTCTTGGGTTTAGAGTTGTTGATGCTCCAGACTTGAACGAACGGCTTAGAAAGTACCCAGTTTCTGCTTCAAAACTTTCTCTTCCTGTTAGCGAACCCAAGAGAAGAGGCAGGAAACGACAATCCACAGGTTAGAGACGTATTTGTCTAGAATGAAGAGAGCTCAGTTCCTTGCTAAAATAGTCTCATGGTAGAGGAGAAAAGACCAGAATTAGTGAGAAATGCTGCTGGAAGGAATTTTTACCATTTTCAGCAAGACAAACAAGGCAGAGCTGTTTTCCCTCCATTCTTTTTTTGTTTTTGGAGGTACTCTGGTATTAATGATTCCAGTATCCAAGTTTTCCTTAAGTGGGAGCTGTTAAATTTATTATGAACATTAGACTAACCAACTGCTCTGTAAGTCACTTTAACGGATGCGGTAAAATAGTAATAGAGAATGAAAAATAGCACATGGTGTCCTGCTACACAGAGGTCCAAAGATTAAAAAACCTATTTCATCTTTTAACTTTCTTTTCCATAATGTTAAGGCTAAAATTTCTCTTACTGTAACGTAGCCATTTTTGGAATCTATCTCTGATTGCTGTGAGCAGGATGAGGCAGCCAAACACAAGAATAAGAGCTGGGTGTCTTACCACCATACCAGGTGACATGGTAAAGGAAAGGAGCCATTTCCAGATCAGGAACTGAGATATCAAATTGATGATACAGTTTCTCACTTTTCCCAAGAACAACTTGGGTTGTTCTTTGAGTGCAGAATAATAGTGTTTACTTTCTTCTGATTTTACTCAGTGTGCCTTGTTTGTTCGTTTGTTTTTACCTGTTTATTTCAGAGTCATCTCCTCAAACCTCGTTGAACAGGAGAAGTTCAGGACGTCAGGGTGGAGTTCATGAGCTCTCGGCTTTTGAGCAGCTGGTGGTAGAGCTGGTACGACACGATGACAGCTGGCCTTTCATGAAACTGGTTTCCAAAATCCAGGTAACAGATACATTACTGCATGGGGAACGATAACATTTGCTGCCAGTAAAACTTTTAACTTATAGTATTGCCTAAGCAGTGGGATTCAGGTAAGCTCTTGGTTCTCTGCTCAAACACTTGGTGGTGCTACAAAGAGGTTTTTTGTTGGTGGTGGTGGTGTTTTTTTTTTTTTTTTTTTTTTTTCCCTTTCTTGCCGGGTT